TTTACCCTGATCAGAAGTCAAGATAGTTTTACCCTGATCAGAAGTCAAGATAGTTTTACCCTGATCAGAAGTCAAGATAGTTTTACCCTGATTAGAAGTCAAGTTTATCCTGATCAAAAGTCAAGATCAGAAACTGACGTGGTTTACTGTCAATTCAACTTAATAAATCAGAAATTTTCAAGAAAATGCAGAAAAGGTAAATTCTACATTACCTCTTTAAGAACTGTGTTTGGTTTAGTTCTATATTACCTATACTATTTATTCGAACACTGCATTCACTGTTCCCAAAATTAATTCTCCTTGAATCCAAGATCTCTCGAATATTATTTCTCGCATCTTCCTTAATACAGGGTGCACACATTTTCAAAGAAGTTAAGTGACTAAAATTAAAAGTCGTCATTGCTCCACCCACAAAAGATGAAAATTTAAAGGGACTGAGACGTAGTTTCCAGTTAAACTCTTTGCTGAAAACTGATTAACAGATTATTTACTTGTGGTTTTTCTACAAAAGTGACCTCATTGCTTAGAGATTAACAGATCTTAACAATGGTTAAGTTAAAAAACGACATTATCTTTCCCATTCAGGATCAGATAAAATGTTGAAGGTACCGCTGTGAATCAAGCATGCCCTTCTTTAGATAGACAGTCCCCTTATTGCAGAATTCAAAAACATTCTATTCCAGGATTCAAATTTTTAAAAAAAGTTAAAATTTTTAAGATTACGGAGAGCTCTCATTTATTAAAACTACACGTTAAAATGATTAATAACTAACAACAAAATATAAATGTTAGATACTAGATTAGCCAACAAAACATGTTGTATCTCTAAAATCTCATGAGTGGATTTGGGGCAGGTCTTATCGCTTAAAGGAAATATGGAAATATTCATTCTTATCATATATCATTTAGATATTTGTAGCACTTTTTATCTTACGTTTTTAATAGTTTTTATCCTTTCTTGTTTACTATTTTTTAAATGTTAAATAGTTTTTCCCTGATCA